ACTACAACACATTATAGAAAACAAAAAGTACAAGTATATGATCTACGGTGGCGTTAATAAAGTAAACAGATGAAGCGTAACTCGTAAAATGTGAACAAAGACTATAGATTAAACTTTTATTAAACGAGACAAGAAAAGCCCATTTCACGACTTGGATTGTCAAATGTTATTTATAGAACACCTCGACGTACCTAACACTAAGCGTGCTATGTTATTACTCTGAAAACAAACTCAATTACATAACATTTACATAAGACAATATTCGACTAACTTATTAATGTTGTTTACTTAGGTATTATTACATAATGGATAATCCTTAATTATAGGTTTTTTTTTTGCACGTATGAAGCCATTACTTTTTTGTGAAAAATAATTGTATTTATATACTTTGGTGACATTTTGAAAGTCTCAATCTCTATGGTGAATTTGGTTCGCTACAAAAGTTTTTGCTTATTGAGAGTTGCATTGTAGTTTTTAAGAGTTGTATTGATGTACCCGCATGAAGTGATACTCTTAACTAAGAGGATTTTTTTCACCTGTAGGCATGGAAACTTTTTCTTTCTTACTATGTTTGGCTCTTAGTTTTAGGACTTAAAATTTGAAAATTAGACTGAAGATAGACCTAGCGTGTCCAAGTTGTTATAGTGTGAATGTACCAACAATCAACACGTATTAGAAATGCCTACAGTATTTAGTCCTACGGTTACTAAACTGAACTCACTATGATCTATCCCTACTATAGCCCGACACCACTGTTTTGACATTTTGTCCATTTTAATAGGACATAATATACATAAAATATTTAGTTAAGACTTTGGGATTCTCATGTAATAATCAATATTTTATGCGAACAATTAAAGAGCATTTCCAGAGAAAATCATAAACGTAGCCTTAGATCGGATAAAACTGTTAAATCTTCTATTTACATTATAATATAATTGCATACCTAGTATATTTAGTTTGTATGATTAGTGACTACATTAAATTCCATTTAGCCATTGACGAGTAGGTACAATTATAAACCGTGTTAATAAAATTTACTTATACTATGCATGAACCATATTATTATTTCGTACCATTTTTTTTACAATTGGTATCACTGTAATAACAGCTTCAAATGATCTAGTAATATCAGTGACGTCTCAATGCACTTAAATATTTAAAAATATATCGTGCAAGTTATTATATTTGTTAAGTTATTATACACCAAAATAGGTTAGCAACTGTTTGTGTGATACTAAATCGTTTTGATGTTTAAATGTTATAGTTTTATTAATTGTTACCGTCGCTTCATACATAAACGACAAGTAACAAACAAAATTTCGTACTACATATTTTATATTATGAAATTTTTAAAGCAATCACCTTATAAATAAGCATATCTCTATTATTTCTATTTCTTTTCATTCGTTAATATGTATTGTTATTTTCATGCTAAAATATTGTGTTAAAGATTCGTACAGTAGTCGTGGACACACTTTCTATACGAGTAGTGCGATTTAAAAAAAGGACACAAAAATTCCTCCATCAGGGTCGGGAGGTCCATATTGGAAAGTATTATCAATCAGAATTGATATAATATGTTACCCAGGTCTTAACTTGGACCCGTAGGTAGGGCAAAAACATAGTTTTTCTTACCCGTAGCTACACCTTAATAAATTAAAATGTTTAAAAATGAATAACACAGTAACATGAATTTGGAGGGGCACGTACATTATTATTTTGGTTTTATTTGTTCGCATCGAGGGTTATTTGAGTTTTCTACAGAAAGCTCGATATTTTACAAAATACTGGTTACCGTTGTATTCGGTTTGCTTAACGTTAATATGTGAATGAAATCGATATAGCCATCTCATTGAATGTGTTTGCACAATTATAAATCCAATTGCGAAGGCCTAATTTGAAGCCATTCTAATTTCGCGTTGTGTGTATAATAATAAATATTGCGGAGTGTTTGCATTCGCCGGCCAAGTCAAAAGACCGCAATAATGACCGAATAATAAACGGGCTACGCTATAAATAATGCTGACCAGCGACCCGGGAAATGTAAACAACACTAACTACCGGCGTAATCGGACGACAATTATGATAATATTCATACTCGGGTTCTCAAATCCTTAACGTTTACAATATAGAGTCATCGCATTAATATTCATTCACCAGACTCGCGAGTAGTCCAAAAATGTGTTGGAGATCCTGCAGTCAACACACCAAGGATGTATAAATATAATAGGAGCATCAACATATGTACGCGTCCAAGGTTAATTTTGACAATTCACACTTTTATAGTAAAAAAAAAAAATCATATTTTATGTGAACTGAAATCTTTATCTGCTTCCCAACATACAAATTTATTTAGTATCGTACCCATTAATAGTGTCTTCGACGGACCGAAAAAGGTAATCAAAGAAGACATATCCATAACAATTGAGCCGTCGAGAGCAAAAGTGTCGTGAATTACACCACTTTTGCTTTCGACGGCTTAATTATGGACAAATAAGCTTACTGTCTGAAGGTTTCTTTTTTTTTTGTCTTTTAAAGTTCTTATAAATACAATTCATACTTTAGGTACACACAATGTACATAGTACTCAGGAAAAGTATAAATATATACAAGTATATAAAACATGTGTTGGGTTGTCACACCTGGCGAGGAGGTGTCCGTCCTTGTTTAAGAATTTTGTCTGAGTAGATTAATGCCATCTGATTATCTAGTAGTTTTAGACTGACAAAACCCCATGGAATAACATCAATCTTACTGTGAATTTTTTTAATTTTTGTCATTGTTTAATTTTGAATGTTTTGAAATTATAAAACCTTCACTTTCCAACCTTCGTCATCATTGTAGCGTATCATTGTATATTTTTAGTTTCATATCATTAATCATCATTGATAACTAGTTAAGTCTTGTAAAATTATGTTATCGATCGTCTTGATTTGCTAATGAGTGGGTGGTGACTGATGACGTGTCTCTCAGTGAAAAGTCTCTCTGGTGACTACCTGAACAGAAATGTTGTCCACCACTATTGTATGAATCTTTTAGCATAAAAATAACTATACACGTTAATGAAAGAAACGAAGTAGGAATAATAGAGATGAGCTGCTTATAAGTTAGTTGATTTAAAATTTTCCAAGTATAAATGTTCTACGAAATTTTGTATGTTACTTTATGCTTATATGAAGCGATTAAAACGGTTTAAAACTTTAATGTTAAACTAAATGTCTTATAAGATATTTATTATGCTTAGTTCTTTGGAATTTAAGAGTTATAATTAATATTTTAAGTGAATTATTGTATTATTTTAAATATCAATTTATTTTACTAATAAAATAGTTTATCATTAATTAATAATTGTCATACACACAGCTTTTGTTCGTCAATATGATATTGTTGTTTTCAGCCAATTTTAACGCTCCCTCAAGTGTATCGCTAATAAATAACTCATTATATACCGTAAACTTTTAATGCATTTTAATAATTAACTTAATGAAGACGTTAATTAGTCTTTTTGAAAAATTCCAGGTAGAGCACATCAGACAATTAACTAATATTGATTGGACGTTTTAAGCGACGACTGTTTTATGTCGAGCTAATATTATGCTTTTTTACGACTAAGAAAAACATTTTATATTAAAGATTATTTTTTTTTATAATGAACAAAAATATTATTTAACAATTTTTAAAAGTATAAAACTTTTGTAATGGACCAAGAAGCAATTTTAACATCTATTTTTTGTTTTGTTTGGTATTTTAGGATTGAACCAATTCAAAACATTCGGTTCAGCGGTCAGTAGCTATTAACATCAAACACATTCGAAATTCAGAAGAAATGTTTTAATAACATATTAATTTCTTCTTATTTAGCTTTACTATTAGTTATTTGATTTATAAAATGTGAAAATCATTTAAGTATGTAGAAAAAGGCTCTGGATTGTGGTCCAAATGCAATTGATTACGTTTTAAGGTTATTGTTAATATATAAATCAAATTACGCTTTCTGACTCTGAAAAGATAGTATTCACATTTCACATTTTGAACTTAACTTAAACATTACAACTTTTGATCATCGGTAAAATTGCATAGTCCTTCCAGCAATGTTTGGAATTTCTTCAGGTTATGTGTATAGCATTGTTGCCAAACGCTTATTATTGGGTAAATTAATTTATTAATTTGAAGTTATTATAATATTTACATACTGGTCTCAAAACTTGAGCTACTACTTACGAGGAATAAGTAGATAAGAACTGTAGCACTGTTTTGATATTTAGGACACCATTAATAATTAAAGTATACATTAAGTTTTAAGAAAATCTTAAATAGCTGTTAATCCTTAAAAATTATTTTTAATTTAGCCCCATAATATAGTTTACAGTGACTATCTATTGGTTCTTTTCATTATTTACCATTTGGTAATTACCAATGAAATATTTATTGGCATTTTCTTAAAAAAATTAATAATTCAAATAAAAATATTATTATTTTTATATAAATGTTTAAACTTAATAATTTATCTTTTAACTTTTACTTAACTTATTAATGTTGATTTCTAGAATAATTAATCAAATTAAATATGTACAATTTTTTCCTTATAAACTTTTCCTACAATTTGCAATAGAGGTATACTTGGAAAATATGTTTAGTATAATTGAAGACCTTGGGGCAACAACAAGACATGTCCTTTATTTCATTGACATTGTCCAAGTATTCAAAAACAATTTTTTTTGGAATTTTAAACGTTTTGAAAAAAGGACATGTCTTGTTGTTGCCCCAAGGTCTTCAATTGGTTTACATTACTTTTTTATTGACAAACAAAAAACAAATGATTATTATTATTAGGTAGGTAAATAATGAAAAAATGTATATTTACATAAGTTAATATTATTCTTTTAAAGTAACCCAAAATTAGGTAATGAAATGTATGTACATTGTTACATTTTTTTAAACTATAAAGCGCTGCCATTGTTTACATTTAGTACCGGGGAATTTTAATTATAAGTTGCTTAATGCAAAAATGGCAGTTTGTTGATATTCCTAATCGGACGGCGTTGGTTTTTGATTCTGATATTCGGCTTGGCGTCAGTCCAGATAATAAAATAGTAAACTATTTCTACGATGCTCAACAGACTCACTCCCAAAAATAATGCTAACGTACTTCCAGTTGAAACTGTAGCACAGTAATAAGATAACGATTTAAAAAATGTCATGCCATAAATTATTAGTTGTTCATATGCCACATACCGATTAGATCCATACGAGATCGGACCACTTTTCTCTTTAGCCTTTGGTTTGGAAGCCTATCCATTGTAATCACAATTTTCGATATGTAATTATCGTCTTCGAATCTCTGATCATCTCTTAAACTTATTACAATAAATAATTACAGTTCTATATTATCGTTTTGTTTCATTGTAGATACTACTCACATTTCCGAGTTAGCTGTTAAGACTTTGATTTCTTGTTCCGTACAGCTAGATACACAGTTGCAAACAAGTCCTTGTTTATTGAATCCATAGGTTTTCAGTGCTCTAAATTTTTCTAAAACCATTGATTTAACAAATTAAAAATAAGGGTTTTCACGACCTACATAATATTATTAAGTTAGTTTTGCACAACAAATTGGTATAGGTACAACTAGGTTTCTGCTTGAGATGTTCAGGTTTCAATTTTTCAGACTGATCGTCTTTATCTTACAGATAATGTTGACTATTATAAAGTGACGGAAGTTGACAACTATAAATGTGTGGATATTTGATACATGTTGAAGAAATGCGATATTTGATAGTACTTTATTGAAATAAGAAAACTTTTAGGTCTTTCACAATACTGTTAACAATATTTATTACAAACCTGCGTGTTTGGTTATGCAGCTGAGGCCGTCGATGCCGCACATAGGCGTTCCGGCTATGTACATTTTGTTAAGAGGAAAATGTGATGTTTAGATATAAGTACATTTGTAAGTGCACGTGAAAGCATACTTACGGATTCTTAAATAGTGCGGAGTACAGTTACACATTTGATATTGGGCTTCTGCTCTGCAGTTTACAATACAAGCTGAATTGCTGTAAACGTTATAAACTTTTAGATTGTTTTCATCTGGAAACCGGCAGTTCCTTTGTTGTATTTCCACGTCTTTCAGAATGGGATCGTTCTCAATTTCTAGAACCTAAAATAATAGGGTTTTTTTTTTTTATAAAAGGGTCAAATGTATGAAAAAAAAAAATTCCGATCATGTCAACTTGTGTTGAAATACATTTTTTTTTTTTTGGCTTAGGGTATAACTTTTAACGTTGGAAATTGATAAGTTATTTATAGTAAATTTCTGAATGGAGGGGGTAAATTGAGTAGGGTTTACACGATATTTATACAATTTTCTGTTCCTCTGTATCATATTGTTTGTTTCCAAAATAGTTCTACAATTTTTTTTAACAAAATATGTAATAAAAATTAGACGGTTTTCGGTCCCTAGTCACAAATTATTCACGTTTCGTTTTTTATCAGTCTCCACATGATTGCCTTGCCTGGTACTCTAAAGTAAACGACGCGCCCCAACTGAGTATGAATTTTTCTTCCGGTGGATGATTGACATAGGGCAGATCTTCTGGCGAGTGAACGAATAGCTGTACAAATAAACGGATTAATATGTATACAGTTTACAACACCTTCATTTATGCATTACTTTTATAGATTCAAATGCCGAGAACTCTAGTCGCCCTGGCCCGAGTCGCCGGCTGGATATCATGTTCAGCTTTTCCTCTTTAAGTCTAAGATGACATTTATTAAATCGATTCGTTGCGCTGAATAATATATCAGATTATAGTCTAAAATTCAAACGAACACTTACTTAGCCGTGTGTAAAGAATTTATAGTAAAGCATACGCCACTTTCTGTTGCTAACGGTAAAAATTGTTGACAGCATTCGAACGGTTCGTTGTTCCAGGAACAATTGCCGATTAAGTCCTGACATTTCGCCCTTACCTGCAATAGACCACACGGAAATATCACAAAAATGTTAAACAACTTTAAAAGATAAGGACGATAGAACTCCGTCAACGAGTCTGAACACTGAAAGACCATATTTCATTATGTAAATTAAAACTCGACTTTGGCATGGAGTTATTTTACAAAAGATTTTTGAATACGAAAACTTACTTCACGTATAATGGTGTTGTAGTCAGTCGTACAATTCATTGATTTTTTTTTGCAATGTGTACTGCACGAGTAACATGCACCGTCATAAAAAGCGATATCTCTCAGGAAGAAATCTATGCTCATGTCTCGCTCCTCTCCGTAAATCCTGTAAGCCGTTTGAAGTACACAACAATTCCAACGAAATCAAGTAAAACTTAACGTTTTTAAGCCTTTATACATTGTTAATATAACATATTTTTGTGACTAACAGATCACACCGTTACGCCGATTATACTTCCAGATAACAACGGCAACCGTATGACCCGATTATCTTATCTACACTACTGGACATTTTCAAAATAATTGTAAATACCACAAAAGTTGACTACATTAAGAGCGTAAAATCAAATTTTAGATAAACGGTTGTAGACAATTTAATTTTTATCACACGTCTCTGTTAGATAACTAGGATTTCACCTGATTAAAAATCAGAAATGGCACTTTTAAAATTCTTAAATTCCATACTTTGTGGCTGACCTATACAGCCTGTCTGGCGATTCCTGTTCGCAGATTGACAAAGACAGGAAACTCGTGTTCCAATGCAAGTATGTTGTGTCCGCAACGAAAGTGACAGCGTTGTGACTGTAAGCATACCAAGTAGCTTGCAGGTAGCCCCACATTCCATAACCTGATGTTATACATGTCAAAGCCCAAAACCACCTGTGTGGATGCACAAAAAACATTACATTTGATCATACTTACAACTAATATAAGGATGTAATCAAATTTATAGAAATTTAACTAAAAACGCTTCGAAAGGCGGTGGTTAATATATTTTCCACTTTGGTTATGACCTCTGAGGGTGGCGGCTAATGTAGACAACCACTTATATTTAATACATTTTTTGAGAGGTTATGATAACATAAAATAGTCGACTGTATTAGACACACCACTAAAACGCGCGGTTGCTTATTATATTGATTTGGTGCTCGTATCATAGAATTTTATCGTTTCTAGCTTGCCGCCTAATGTTTTTTTGTTAATGACATTTCTTGTCCTACAAAGAGTTAAAAATAATAAAATACAAACGGGATGACCAAAAAAATAAAATATAAAACAGTTAAAAAAAGCGTTGTACAATGCTATAGTCGTTAACCAGTATTTCTCTTCAACCACTTTACATAGGTGATACGAATGGAAAAACACTTTCTCCGCTTCGCATTGAAGCTAAATATTGTAAAAAAAAAAACAACAACATATAAAATTGTTTAATGTTATGTTCTCCAAATATTTCAGAACACGCAATTCTGTCATCAACACACGACCTTAATTTTTGCCGTCATCCACAAGGATGCATTGCTCCTTGCAAATTATACATGTAAATGTCCTTGGATACGTTTATTTCATATGAAATACAATTTTTTAGTCGTAATTGTCAGAGTTATATTATATTATAACATTTGTTTTTTTCTTCATTCTTAGTCATGGTTTCTAGGTCATTGACTATTTATTGAACATAGTACGAGTACATAGCCAAACAAAAAAAAAATCTAAGACTGTCGTAAAATTGAATATGATATGAGTTGTGGCATTCTAGTGATGTACGGTAATGTAAGAATGATTTAATTTAGTTATACCTACATAGAAGATTTAAAAAAAGGATAGCTAAATTAGGACCTATGTAATAGAAAATATGACAATGCAGACCTATGCGAAAAATACAGAGAAGTAGTGAACAAGATAAAGAATATAAACACATTAATTTACACAGCAATTTAATATAATAAATTCTTTCTAAATGTTTTGTTAAGGTTAAATGGAAAAAAAAATTAAGATAAATATGCGCTATGAATACTTAACTTTCACCAAAAATAGGATGTACAAATATTTTGTCAATAATATTGTCATAATTATTTTAAAAAAATAATATTTTTTGATGTACTATATTATAGTATTTTTAAAATATATTATAGCCCGTGTTGTATTGATTAATGGCGGTAAAGCTGGATTAAGCAAGGGCAAGTACATCACATTGCTCCGGGCAAGTGTTAAGCCCGAAATTGTTGTTCTTCTACTAAAAGCGCACGAAAGTAAGGTAATAGAAGACGAATTTAAAGAAAACACATACATAGGTACAGATAGATGTTGAAGGGGTGTGGGTCATCAAATAATTGTAAATTGTTGCCAATGTTTTACATTCCTTTTGAAATTATTTCTATGTTTCGTCAAAACATTTATTTTTGTAATTTATTGAAAACAAAAATATATTTCATAACCACCACAAGAGGACTTGTGTCACGGTTATTGTGCAATAAATGTATTTTTTGCAGAAAACGTGGGACGTGACCAAAGAAATTCGGGCACCAACACCCTGCGGCGCGTTCTCGTTGAAAAAAATATCATTACAACAGTCGATAATATGTTTTACCTTTCGGTCCAGTGTCGTTGCCCGTCAGCGATGTAATTAAATCCGTGCACGGTACTGTTGCTGAAGTACGTCCATATCCTGTTCATGGTCGGACGATTGTAAAAGCGCGCAACAGAACATTATTGTTCGACTGGACTTTATTATTATGATAATATAATACTGTACTATTGTATATTACAGTGCGATTATCGTGGCTTTTTATCGGTTTTCCAAAACCTTTTAGCCGTAATTACATCCGGTCTGTCCGGCCTCTTGTAGCTTGGCGACAGTAATAGAATATGCAGTCGAACTGCTTATAAATGACCAGGTTGGGCCAAGCAACAGTCGCCGCGCTCCTAGTGAAATCAAAAAAAAAATTGTAAATGCAATTTAATTTCTATGTTGAATTTTGTTCCCCAGTCGGGCTGTGATAATCCTGAGCTATCCTAGAAAACGAATAATATGATCACATGGCTGATAAACGCATCAATGCTGATCATTGCGCGTTAATAAGTTTTAATTTTATCTTGATCTTTATTTTTTTGTTCGAATTAACTTCCCATTGGTATATGAGATAATAGATAAGATTAAGAGGCAACACACGTGTAATAATGGACCGATTGGTGTTTTACAATTTTATCATACATTACCCTAACAAAGATATCGCAAATCCATTTTCATATTTTAATATTTAGAATTTATAACCAACACTGTACAACGTCATTATTTTTGCACAATACTATTGAGAGATGTACTCTTCTAAAGAACTAAGCGAAATGTCTATGTAAACAAAATTAAACAATACCTTAACTAAAACATGGTCGATTTTCAATTAAGTTTTTGCATACTAAATTATATGTCATTTAACCATTTCCCAAAATATGGAAATTTTCCATATTTTGCTTTTTTAGGTGTAGTATTAGAGTTCAAGATCTGAAAATAAGACTGAAGGTAGATCAACAGCGAGGCTATAATTTATCAATTTTTTTAAAAATGTATATTAAAACTTTTTATTAATTAACCCATTAGCGCCTATATGGTAACAATCAATTTTTTCAAGCTTTTAAGTACACAATTTTTTTTTTTTTTTTAAATAAAAAATATAATAAAAAAACAAGCACCCAAGACACCAATTATTTAAAAATAAAAAAAATGTTCAAAAAAATTCCCCCCAAAAAAAATGTTGGAAAAAATTCCAAAAAAAACTCTGGCGTTAATGGGTTAAGGAAAAACCAAAAGAATAAAATTACACTTTTACACTTTGACCGTAGTCAATTTATAGGTTGCTACGCGTGAGTGAATCAGCAGTTAAAAAGTATTTGAAAATATGCTCACTATATTGTTAATTACGACATACGGATAACAATAGCAACAAATATTATAGACTGATGATCAACCTTAAGTGTATTCACCCTAATACTAAAAATGCACGTTTAAGCACATTATTGTCTAGGCTTTTGTCGATATTTGTATTTCTACAATTACAGATACGCGTCGAAGCGTTTAGTTGAAAGCGATTTTATCGTAATTATTATAATAATTCATATTATAGATATATTGTGACCTCCCCCGTCCTAATAAGTATTATGCTCACTTCCACTATGCCCCGACGCCACTGTACTGACTTTTTATATAAACATATAAGCACGAATTTGAAGATAAAATAATGGAATTAGTCACACGTTTGTGTTATTATTAGTTGTAGTATAATTAGAAATTTTTTGGGTTGGAAAAAATTGACCTTCAGTTGAATTTTCATACTTTATACACTCAACAAAAGAGGTATAATTATTGTACTGGGTTTCTAAGTATTGTAAAGGTTTTATTTTTAATTTATAAGGGTCTATTTTCTTATATTTGACATAATATAAAAAACCTTTGGTTAACCGTTTCTAATCTAATAAATAAATATATAAATAAAAAAGTCGGTTGAGTAGTCAATAATTCATCGAGGAGCCGGCAAACACATGCAAAAAATCCATTTAAATTGTAAATTCTATGTTTTTTAAATTTTACAACCAAGTCAAAAATTAGTTAAAAAATTACTAAAAATAATAAACTAAATTAACACATTTAACGAAAAGTTTTGACTGGCCGTTAAAAAGTTTTGAATTATCACTGTTGAAATTTAAAAGTCCGCGAGGAATGTAATTTGCGGTTTGATGGCGTATGCCGATAAAACCTAATTACATTTAACTATTAACATGATTATAACTTAAACGTGTCAATGTATATATTGTTCAGTGGCAACACATCATATATAATTATATTCTAGAATAGTTTGGTTACCTAACCTAACCGGAACTAAGCAATTCAACTGAACAAATATACAAATGTCTATAGTCTATAGAATTCATATTATACGAACAGTGAACAGTAATTATAATTAAATAAGATTATAAGTTAATTAGAAATTGCTAATTTAAACATCATAACTATCGAAAAACAAGCGTATCTAATATTATCTTGTATTTGTTGAGATCAACAATAATTGATATAATATTGCAAAACCAATATAATCTACAAATAATTTATAATTTTTCATCTGATCTGATGAAAGTTCTATAAATATTAAAGCTTCTAATATTATATTTGTTTTACATTTCAACAAAATCAACTAGGTACGAGCACAATATCTATTTTTTTTTTAAACAGCATGATACCAAAACTTATGGAAACTGGT